TAAGGACCCAGTCGACCAAAATCCATCTGGATTTTGATTCCTCGCTCGGATACGGAGCTGGCCTGTGATTCGTCAATTGCCTGTCTCGGGCGATGAGCACTCTGGCAAACAGCATGGGCAGTAAAGTTACATTCGTTGGAACTGAGTTGGTTTATGGCGTTCGGTCGCTTAATAGAAATGATGAATTTTCACCAGGCGCTTCCATTGCCCTGTCCACTGTCCAAATTGGGGATGTATTGGTGGAGATACAGTGGAAAATGACCCGATTCATGAGGGTTGTGAGCTGGGTCATTACGAAGAACGGGATGGGAACTTCTTCAACGCATCGGGGGTTCTCTCGGCAAGGGTTTTATCTGCCCATCTGTGAAAGGTTTATGAGTCGCCTCCGAACGGGTGTAGTCGCCTTGCTCTTTATGTGCGCACCTTTCTGACATAGTGGGAACAAGGCCTGAGCCCAAGCTTTACAGTAGGTGTCGTCACCGCATACACGTACTGTAAAGCTTGCTCTGATCCCGTTTTTGAACCGGAGGTGTTGCCGCGCTTTGATGTCGTCCCAATACTCTCACGTCTGCCCAGGCAGGGCGCAGAGATTCAGCGGTCCCCACTGCATCGCGAGGCTCATTGTTCATCCCACAATGTCACAGAGCAGTATTCAGCCGCACAGTTGTGCAACGTGCAACAGTCACCTCAAACGAAAAGCGAAGAGATACAAGTACGATGAAGACACACGGCACGTTTTATTGCAATACATGCACAGGCGTTGCACGATGCATATGGCGAAGAGATGCAAATAGCCGTGCATATACGAGCTCTTTCGTAAGTTCAAGACGCGCTGCCGGAGTGTACAGATGCGGTATCGCGACCGCGTGTCTTACGAAAAGGCAAATATGCTCGGTTAGGTAAGACTCTTACCTAACTGAGCATATTTGCCTCTTTGAAGTGCAAACGTGGGGCATATTGATTGGGTTTCGAATAAAAAAGTGTAAGATATAGCTTCCGCCAAAATTTAGCTACCAGGTTCGGCCAATCAGGACTCAAGTGGTTTTCGGTCGACTGGGTCCTTAGACGGTAAAATTTTAGCTTTTGCACCCTGGTGAATCCGCTCCACCGGAGAGTCAAAAGGTAAAATTATTTAGCCCGGGGGTATTTCCAGGGTGCAAATCGGTCGGTTTTACACCTCGAAAATAGCCCAGAGCCAAAAGGCCACGACACAAGCACGAGGCAGTTATTGGTTTCTGGTAGCGGGAATCTGCTTGTACAGTACTTCCCGGTCTCCTACAGTGCGCGAAACGCAAACGCGAAACGCAAATAAATACACCCATCGTCGAGTGGAGTTTTGAGTTGTACAGGTCGATAACATAACAGCGCCCACTCTCTGACACTGTAAAAGACACGAAACGACCGATTCCGGACTCAGATTGGTTCAGTAATAAACGCGGCGACCAGCATCTTTAAAAACGTTTGCGAAACGCATAGAAATACGCGAAACGCTATAGAGTACAGTAGCAAAAAGTGCGAGCAACTGACATGTAGTCTGGATTGAAACCAGTAAGAGGCACGGTCCTGTCGCGCTGATCCGACAAAATTTTTAGACATAATCGTCTAGCAAAAGGCAGCATTCAATATGCCGAGGGGCCCCCACTCACCGACATGGAAAAAGGACAAATCCTTGCCTTGCACCATCAACTCATGTCACTACGCGACATATCTAAAGAACTGGGAAGGTCCATAGGCGCTATGAAACGGGGTTTAAAGAACTCAGGTCGCGTCTCACGTGCCAGAGCCCATGTAACCGGTCAAAAACGTTCGGTCCGTCAAGACAAGGCTATGATCCGCAAGGCCTCTACCGGAGATTATTCATCTCGAGACCTCAGGAAGGACCTCAATTTGCCAGTTGGAATCCGACGAATCCAGCAGATTTTAAGCGGAACGCCTCATCTAAAGTATAGAAAGATGAAGACCGCACCCATAATGACTTCTCCACACCGTGAAAAGAGAGTCAATTGGGTGTGTCGTTTCATAGGCAAGGGAGAGCATTTCTGGAACAAGGTAATTTTCAGCGACGAAGAAAAGTTTAACCTCGGTGGCCCAGACGGCAATACCAGCTATTGGTATGAATTGCGCAAGGATGAACGCTTTTTTTCGAAAAGACAGAATGGAGGAGCTTCTGTCATGGTTTGGGGAGCTATCTCTCCGTACAGTGTCTCCCCGCTCGTCTTTCTAAATGGAAATCAAGACTCTCGCAAGTACTGTGAAACCTTGGATATGCCTCTTATTCCATATGCTCCAGAGGTGTACGGGGAAATGCAGAACTGAGAATACCAGCAGGATGGTGTCTCTATTCCTAGGTGTGGATTTACTCGTTCATGCCTCACTCAGAAAGGCGTTAGGACTATCGATTGGCCCGCAAAGTCCCCCGATCTCAACATCATTGAGAACATATGGGGCAGCATGGCTCGCCGGGTCTATCGTCGTCAGCGACAGTTTGATACTGTAGAGCAGCTTAAGGCTGTAATTGAGGAAGTTTGGGCGACAGTCAGTGGTGAATTTGTGGGAGAACGGGAACGATGAGGTTTGTAGTAGCCGCGCTCGTCGCGCGCAGTGGCGGGGGAAAGGGGTCGCGAGAGTGAAGGGGACGGGGATACCTCGGACGGAGAGTCTCGAGACTCGAACGAGGCACTCTGATCGCGTAGCAAGTTACCCCCGAGGGCCGGCCGGGGTACCGCCCTCGGACTTCAATATCGCCGGATTTCCCGCCGGCGCGTCGCCCTGATAATTTTCCCTTTTTCCCAGATTTAGGGCTAACCAAATAAACTTCAATTTCTAGCTTCCCACAGAATTACTACAGAAACCCTATCGGAGCATACCACGGCGTATGCTTGCAGTGCTGGATGGGCACGGGCGGGCGACAAAGTACTAGAATAAACACCTTTTTGCTACTGTACTCTATAGCGTTTCGCATATTTATTTGCGTTTCGCAAACGTTTTTAAAGATGCTGGTCGCTGCGTTTATTACTGAACCAATCTGAGTCCGGAATCGGTCGTTTCGTGTCTTTTACAGTGTCAGAGAGTAGGCGCTTTTATGTTCTCAACCTGTATAACTCAAAACTCCACTCGACGATGGGTGTATTTATTTGCGTTTCGCGCACTGTGCATGTTTCGCTCGCGTATTGCCGCGCTTCCTCTCCAACCTGCGCCTCTCTTTCTGCATCGATCGCAAAGTACATGCGATCTTGCCCAACCACCACCCTGTTTATGCGCTCCCTTCCGCACACCGCTCTCCCAGGTGCAGGACATGCTCCCACCAACCCACCCAATCATTGCCTCTTCCATCTCGAGCCTCGTTCCCATCACAATAATGGCCGGTACAGAGCAGCCGAAATCCAGATGATTTGACTATTCCTCCAATGAAGACTGCTCCATTTGAGTGCGTCTCTGCAATTCGCTCTGGCAACACCGATGGAGTGTGTTGATGTCGGAGCTAAAATGCCAAATGTGAACAAATGCACCTGGGGCATGCGCACCAGTATTTGATTGACAAGTATTGAAAATATTTAGCTCTTTGCTCATTTGTTCTCCAACCGGTGGGAATGCTCTTACTGTCTGAGCTTCCCTTTGGTAATCAAATCGACGAGATCGCGAGTTATCAGGACTACTTAAAGCATAGAGGAGACTCTCAACGTAAAGATCACGACCCAAGCTTCATCAGTCTTATCTTCAACCTTCGTCCAATTGCCATTAACCCTTTGGCAGTGAGCCGAAAACGGCACCATACCGAACCAGGCACTATACGATAATGAGATTTACGGCTTTTTGCAGCCACTTCCTTGCATCACTGCTCAGAAAGACCGCTCGCAGGACACCATCACTCATACTTTACATCTCCACTAAAGACTCTTCAAGTCTAATAGAGCATTTCTGTCATTGCCCCTAGGGGCTGTAGCTGTGGAGCCGTCGCAGTGACTTCTTCCTTTTTCGCAGCCATAAATGCCGGCCTACACTTTCCCAGATGCCTAATTGCATCATCGCCCCTGCTTTTTTCTGCCGTAGTCTCTAGTTAGCAATCGCGTAATATCTTGTTGCGGTGGCAGCGGCTCCCGGACAGTACGTCCATCCAACTGCCTCTCTGGATACCCTACGATTTTGGCTCAAAATTCGTGCCACCCGCAGAAGGGTAGCAATACTGTATATCGCGACCCCCCTGTGGGTACAATACCGTCACAGTACCTATCGAAATGTAGAAACGTACCAACGAGAATAGCACTGCTTGTTGACAAGCAGTGCTATTATAATACATGAGCTGACATCAGCTCATGTATTTTTGAATCGCATTGTAATTTTCCTATCGCTGGGAGGGTCGAGATGTGCGGGGAGAGGAGTGACGCATGTGCCAGGCTGAGTGACTGCTGCACCACACTGACCGGCGACGGTGCCCAGCACAAGCCGCAATGCAGTACAAAGCACTGCACGTCTCCGCTCCCGAACGGCCTTCCTCACTCAATCGATTCTCCCTCCCTCCCTCCCGGGGCCGGCTTGCAAGCAGCCCATTTCGGCTCTGATTTGCTTTGCGATTGCTCGTTCTTGATCTATCTTCACTACGTTTACGCTTCTTTCACGCTACGATAAGAACTCTACGCTTGCGTTGCAAACAGCAGCCCCCATGACATTAAAGTTGTGTCGACAGGCAACCCTGGCATCCAACCGGTATAGCGCACCGATTACATCCAGTTTCATTCACTGCTTTGCGTGTTTATACGGCAGGAGAACGCTCTAAAGTCATCGCATGCTACAGCCATCGATTCAGACGCCCACTCTCCTAGCAAAACCTGTCTCATCTCTGAAACTGTTGTACTAATCGCTCAAAGTTGTACGAGGGTGTAGTTGTGTTCCCATCCTTCATCAGCGGACTGAGTCCTGGAAATCCGCTGTCTTCTTCTTCTCGAAATTGAACATACCGATTATCTACATTGCCCTCCAACGCAACACTTATCCATGACGCATCAAAGAACGCCAAATGTTATCCTTTGATTCGCGCGCACCTTGTATTTACGTTGAGTCACGCCGTTCGACCATCGCACCATCACGACCGTAGCCTCTCGGAAGGAGCCAAATCCAAAGTGGACCGTGTCCAGATACGACCCTCCGCCGGCCTGAGCCCCACGAGAACCAACTCGTCGAGTCATTCGCCTTCGCCCGGTCACTACAGTAACCACTGCGTGGAGCGAAGTAGCACCTCGGTTCTGCGCATTTCTCACGAATACGTGAAGGTAATTTCTCTCGTTCGTGAGCTGCATCACATTTTTTAGCAGTCGCCAATATCCTTTTGGCCCTTCACGATCTCCCTGCCCTACCATGAGATCAATCCTCCCATCCCTATTGTAGTCAAATGCCATACCATTATTACCAATCACTTTCGTTGGTTTCCTGATTTGTGTGTCAATGATAGTGTTGAACCTGCCACCCCCTTTGTTCATGAGAAAATAGTCTCGGCCTTTCCACGTGGTGATAAACAGATCGACAAATCCATCGTTGTTGAAGTCACCTGCCGTGACTCCCATGCTGTCTCTTCGCTCTCGTATGCCAGCCTTTTCCGACACATCTACATACTTCCCGCCCCGATTTTCAAGAAGAAAATCAGTATGATCATCCCCCGGTAGGCTGTCCGAGAGGGTCATTCGGCGACGATCCGCTCGGGCGACATAGAGGTCCATGTCCCCGTCGTTATCCATGTCAAATTCTACCACAGAAGTTCCTGACAGTCTTGGCATTGTGAAGTCTGGTGGAAGCACCTGAGATGTGATTTCGGCAAACGTGAACGGAGCGACAAGCTTGAATATTTCGAGGTGTCGGATGCTGATGATTTCCATTACGCCATCCCCATCAATGTCAGTGACCTCCACTCTGCCCCGCAGCTGCCTGGCAAACACTGGAATCGGGCGGAAACTGTAGTACCCGTTGTTGTTCTGGTAGGAATATTGCCTAAGGCTTCCGAGACTTACTCCCAGATAGCTAGCGAAGATAATATCTGGGCCACCACCACTTTTGCGCTTTGCAGAGGAGCTTTTCATGTCAAGGTTCATGAAAATCGAGTTTCGTCCCCTGCTCTTGATTTTCCCAAATCCGTAAGATGTGGATATATCCTTGATGCTTCTATCTGGTTTCACCGAAAAGAGCTCCGGTCTCTTCAGGTTAGAACCTCTGCCGCCACCGACAGAAACGGAAAGTATGCGCTCCCGTGTCTTCGCAGTACGTGGTCCCACCTGTATTCCGTGCACATCTTTAAATTTTGTCTCGAAGTCAACGCGTTTGATAAAGGTCCCATCGCCCTTTCCAAAGTATAGTTGCACCGGGTCCTTGAGATGATGAGAGAGTATTAGGTCGTAGTGCCCGTCCTGATCAAGGTCGGCCACGCATGGGCCGCCCCACTTGTTAGTAGCGCGGTCCTGTCGAATGCCTGCTTCGAATGTGACGTCTTTGAGAGCGGGCTGAGCTGATGTGCAGGTGAGAAGGCAGACAGCCGCAATGGTCGCGACAGAAAAGAAACTCATCTGGTTTTGTGTCTTCGATCTTCTGACAACCTGTGTGAGAAGTTACGGGGCATTTGAAATATTACAGAAAGAGAGAAACGGGATTCTTGGGGTTACCAGTCACACTGACACTTCGATAACTGCTGCCCGGAAAGGGGTTAGGTATGCAGATACGCCTCACCGCTAAACAACGCAGTGACATCAGCGCACGCTGATGGCTTACTTGAGCGCGTGGAACTGTGCCAGACGTGTCTCGAAGACGTGGGAATTGCGCGAAGGAATATTCCTGTTCCACGTCAGCAGAGTATCTGCGATTTATGGTCACTCGTGATCGGCCGAGTACTTTAAGATGAGGGCGGTCTCCCTGCTTTAATGGTCATGCACAGCGGCTGCAATACGAACTCTTGGGGGGCGGGAGAGAAATAAGGCGAAAGAAAGATCGGCGACGTACTTGGGCAGGGTGCGGGAAGGGTGAAGGATAATGTAATTGCAGGTGATGGCGGGAACGAGAAGGTACCCTTGGTACAGTACCGTTCGAACGGTACCAAGGGTACCATACCGTATGTCGAGCGATGCGTATACAGTAGTGCATAGCCAGTTGCGCTTGCTCGGATTCAAACTACTGATGTGGGCTACCGACTGTCCTGTTTTGATATTCTCGCAAGAGAAACGAAGCGGCGATCTTCTGGCGCAGGCGACGGCTAACGCAGAGTCGCGTGGAAAGGCTTCCATCGGCGGGTACGCATCGGTTATACCGTACGTTCATGACACAGAGTTCGAAGCGTGGGTAACAGCTAACAGTTGCAAGTAGGTTTGGCACTCCACTCCACTTGTCATTGTAAGGCGCGGCGACGGCAACGGAATCTGATTTGGGGGTGGCTCAAGTCATACATTAGCGCGAACAATGAGAAAATTTGTGAGGAGGTTGTCAGCGAGGGGCTATCCTTCTTCGATAATGTGCGGTTCGGAGAAGTTATGTGTAAAGATTGTTATCATTATGCGCCTCGGTCAGTCACGTGGCCGGTGTCCAGGCCTGGGTGGTCACCAAATAGGGAGCTCAATGATCGCCAGCCGCCGCTTAAATTGGTGGGGGAAGTCGACCTCACGCCTGCACGAAAACAGAAGTCGTCCACATACTGTACCAGCCCAATCTTTATAACTATCGCTGTTACACATCAAACATGATGCAAATTTAACGTACTGTAGCGAGATAGAGGGACAAAAATAACGCATGGATGGGGGGGTAAGGGGCCGGGAATACAGCCCCGTATTCAATTTTGACTCCTGTTTTGAGACCATGAGTTTCTGAAGCAACGGTCGTGGGACGACATCGGAGCGAGAAAGGATTCCCGGGCAAGAACCCCTCAAATCAAAGACGATTGTATTTCGTTAGGCATTGATCAGATTGGATTTGCAATTGTACCACCGAATAGTATCGTGCCAGGACTTGAAATGTAATATTTAACCTGTAGATGATGCCACCGTTGCATAAGTGAAGAGATTATGTAAAGTTATACCTAGCTGTTGTTCCGCTCTCCGTAGCCTCCTCATTGGTCAAGTCTGCTGATTGAGAACGCTTCATAGTCTGCATTTTGCACACCGCGTCGGCGGCCAGTTGACTGCGCCACGTTTTGTCAATATATGCAACGCAGTAAGTACGTATGTGTACATGGTTTGGTATTCGTCTCTGTAAACAAATTGTTTCCGCGATTGGACAGCTACGATCAGGGTCTTGGATCTTCCTCAGTTTGAATTTGCGTAGGATTGAAGATTGCTGATACAAAACGACTGGTCTGCAATGCCTATCGGCCCCACTCGGAAAACGCGAAGCGGGGCAGACTGTGCGTATATCTGATATAATTGCACATCAGGATGTCAGAGGTCAGAAAGCAAAAGATGCGTTCCTACTTGAAACGTTTCGAATCACTTGGCCAGCGCGTTTCGTGAAAGAGAAGGAAATATAAGCCCATGCTGGAACGAATTTCGACAAGATGCGGGGATGTACATGTTCGCGTGTGATTCTCTCCGCTCTTTTCTGAGGAATGGCGATCCGGGACAGGTTTTTGGGCGGAAAAAGGGCACAGGGAGACATGCAGATTGTCCTGCAACGAATGTGACAAACGCAGGAATGTCGTGGGGGCGGGTGCAATGATCGTTGGGTTTTCAGATGCAACTTTGAAGGTTTGTTTGGCACTGGAAAGGATGCGATGCGGGGCTGCTTCACGCGTCCTGCGCTTTGTTTGCGCGCTCACAGTTGAGCACGTGGAACGAGATGGACGGCGACCTGCTTGCAGTGTTTAAACAGAAATGATAAGCTTCAGGAGAAGCAAAGAACAGCTGGAATGACGCCAGGACAAAAATGAGAGGTCCAGAGCAAACTGGCGCCGAGTTCGCCAGAGGCGATGCCTAAGCGCCCCCTTATACCGGTGCAATAGGGGTAGAGATTGGATGCAGATGCCTAAGCGCCCCCTTATACCGGTGCAATAGGGGTAGAGATTGGATGCAAGGTGAGATACGCCTCTCGCTCTAAATCACTATACCCAATGGCATCGTGCCAACTGTCGGATTAGGTAGTCTACCTGGGATAGGCATCGTCGGCAAATCGTTTTTCCAATTATGACCCCCTATTGCAAAACACAAGCGATCTCCGCACTCCACATTCAGGGCCGTTCCTAACGAAGAGTTCGCCGTGCCAGCACCCGAGCACCCTGAAACTTGGCATGAATGTATTGGTTGAAATAAATTATTGGAAATGCATTTACTCCCGTTCAACCAATCAATTCATGCCAAATGTCCGGGTGTTGGGGTGCTGGCACCGCGAATTCTTCGTTAGGAACGCCCCTCAACCCCCCCCCCCCACTCCGACCGCACGTTCTTGCCAAGCCTATGCCCCAATCTTCGCGCACAGATCATGCCTTCAACAATTTCTCCGACGACGCGGCTCAGGCAATGGAGAACAGCCACCTGTCCGACTACATGACAAAGCGGTGGTCGTCATATATTGCAAACAGACGCGTCCACTTCTCCCGGTTGCGACAGCCGTTTTCATTTCTCGGGTTGAAGCTTTTCTAAGGCCATGTACCCAATGATTCCGAAACCGGATGCCAGGTCGAGATTTTCACTTGCGCAAAAGGAAGCCGCAGCTTTTTCATCATTGGCATTGTTTTTCGCGATTTCCGCCGAGGCACTCCTTGAGAACCATTTCGCTTACACAGAAATTTTACTGTGCATTCATGCGATGCTTGCTCTCCAAAAACTGTCAGTTGTAGCATGAAGGTAGCACCCCAGTATAGCGCAACTATAGTACAGCGTCCTGTTCGAGGAAACACGCAGTGAGATCAAATTCTGACTCTGCCAAACGCCCCCAGATGTTTCAGTGTCACGCCAAGGTCATACCTCCAGCGTGCTGTCCATCGTTCATGTAAACTTGGCGTAGTGGGAACATGCCTGATCACAACCTTGAGATACGGATGAAAGCAATGGCCCGCCCTGAAGGCATGTGAAGGATATTCACGCTTGGCTCAATCTTCGTGTCATTGGTGTGTGTTGTTTAACTCCGATAGCGTCCTGTTGACATGATGAGAGGTCTTGACAGATGTAGCTTCATCCTCGAGAAAGCAGGCAGTGTCGGCTACAATCCCTTCGCAACCGAATGGTCAGACGTTCGCAGCTCATGATCGATACCATGTCCCAGTCTGTAAGATGGGACCCAGGGAGCGGGGCGCGGCTTATGCTCTACAGAACTCTTTCCTTCGTACTCCAGCTCATTCTACTACTTGTGACCAAGTTAAGTGTCACCCCGCCCCTCTCGTTCGAACTTTCACAATCAAGTGAACCGCTTACAGCTTCCACCAATAGTGCTTCATCCCGTGCGTTGCAAGGGGTTTCTCAACAGTGTAGGCTGATCTTCGTCGTATCTTGGCAGATTTCGGGGAGAACGAGAGGGTTTATGTCTTGCACGTGGTGTATTCTCAAAACTCCAGTTTTTGCTACGGTTTCTGCCACAGGGGCAGAACCCCCGTGTTGCATGGTCTATCCTTTGCTTGGACGAAGTTACATTCTTTTGCGGTCTTCTATTGCGAGGCATAGACGAAAGCACACTACAAAAGGCGTTGAAACAACGAAGTTCCTCCACACAAGGAATGCACGTTCAACGCATCGCACGAGGCAGTATGATGCCGGTTGGAGTATAGGATAGTCCTCTAAAGCAAGTACTGTACCGACCCATTTTGGGGGAGCAATGAAGGGTTTCACAGAAGGAAACTGATTGTGCCAAGGCCCTGTGGAAAGTGGATTGTTCTTGTCTCATTTGTATGGCATTACTGAATTATTGTTTTTCTTATTACTGAATGCTTTGCTCCAGCTTTCGAAACGATAAAACTAGGCCTCTAGGGACAATCTAGTCCATGTTATGATAAACTGCGTGCTGAACTTTCCGGTTTTCTTAGACGAAGAATAAGGTCAGTTTGAAACTGAGCTATCGCGCTGGTACAGTACCATAAATTTGAACCAGGCCCTTCTCACCATGTACATGTACAGTACCGTTACAGTATAGCGTCGCGGAAAATTGATCCTCTATTCATGGGTGTAGGTGCGCAGGACCATTTCTTAGATTGGAGCGCTTTCAATCTTGATCCTGTGTCTTAAAGAGAACTTGTTCGAATCGGCTTCATGAAATGACTTCAATAAGCTGTCTGCTTGTGTGCAGAGAAGGACTCTCTAATTTTCTTTTTGTACAGTCCCCTCCCCCCCCCCCCCCCCCCCCCCCCCCCCACCCCCCCGTCCTACAAAGTGAAAGGCGGCCTCCACTCGGAGGTACAATTGCCTTAGGTGGGGAGATTTCCCACATGTACATGTGTCACACATGCTGACTAATGGTTTACTACGCAATCGAAGGGCTACTGTCGTAGGGCTTTTCCCCGTATAGTACCTATTTTATAGAGAAGTTTTGTTACATACCCCTTTTATTTTGGAATTTCTGTTACGTACCCCTTTCTTCACCCCACTCCCGAACGACTTTC